CACTAATGTGAAGGGTCTTCATGGATACATGCAGGAAACCTGGGTTATGAAGTAAGAAGAGATTACCTACCGATGTCTTAGTGGATTCAGCAAGGACAGAGGCTGCCAGTGAACATCCTAGTTCCATGTAAACTCACCAGAAAGAGGCTCAAGCTTTCACAAGGATGAAAGAGAGCCCAGAGAACTGAAGTTTAGTTTTTACCACTATGGCAAAATCTGAACTTAAAATAGAAATTAAATTTGATTTATAGAAAAATTTCCTTATATGGTATGAGATAACTGACCTCATTATGACATGATTCCTTCTTATATGATTCAGAGGAAGCAATAAATTACAACCATCTATTTGTTTAAGCAAGGCATTCTCCACAAAGATACACTATAGATTGGCAACAATAGAAAAGAGCTTTGCATGTTCCTGTCAAGTTCCTCTATTTGAGAATTATTGTCTGTAGGTTATGCTTTGTGAGAGAAATTGCTATTTTGAGTTGAGAATGAATAATAAAGATTATGATGGAACATAAGCATTGCCATACAATGCCAGCTCAGATTTTTTAAAAAGCATCAGAAACTCCCTCCTTTGTAATAGTGGATTCTTGGCCACAGCTGTATCCCCACTGCCCTGGCTCTCAAAGTCACTGTGAACTAAGCATATTCTCCGTGCTAGATCATTTAAAAATTTAGAAAATCTCATCTTTAATCAGAGGCTAGTATTTGAATATTATTTAGCTCTGTATTTTAGGGAGAACAAAATATAATCATTTGGTTGTGGATTTTTTTTTTTTACTATCTTGGTGTCCTGACATTTCATCATCAGGTTGGTCAAAGGTATGTTGTAAAGTCTACTTAATGCTTCTCAAACTATTTAAAAATTTCTTCCAGTTCATTGTGGATACTGTAAAAACATAATAAAGAAATAGAAAAATAAAATGTTAAAAAGATGCAAAATATGATTACAAATATTTTATTAGACTCACTAGAAATAAAGCTGCTCTATTAATTACTATAAAAGTTTATAAATGCTTATTGTTACTCTCTTTTTGCTTTGATTACTTAAAAATCTAGTTCCCACATTAATTGTACAGGAAACAGATTTTTATTGGCAATTAAAGTTTGGGAAAAATATATTAATCTTCACTCCAAATCATAGCAATAATGTATACTTTGTAGGAAAGATGCTGATTACTGGTGACAAATAAAATATATTTAAAATAATGAACATTATAAAATAAAATGATAGCAATAACTATATACTGACTGCTTATATACTAGCCATCACATGGAGAATTTTGTATATATTGACTCTTTTAATATTTACAAAATCTATTTCAATAGGTATTATTATTTGCAAGAAAAAATGAGGCTTGTAGAAGTTGTTACATAATGTAAATACTTACTTCGCATTTTTAAGATTCTAAGAAAAATTATAAAGTGAGATTTGAAGCAGTTTCAACCTATGCACTAAAAATTATGCTAATTTAAATTAACTATTAGTGTTGTACAATTCTAAAGGATTCAAATCCCATATATGATTGTTGTTATGTATTTGGCACATATCAAGTGCTGACTTTTATATTAGAAAAAATTCAAAACATGTTCTTCAAATATATAGCAGTACACGGACTACTAACTCAAATGTAATTTTCAAGATTTTAAATCCTGAAAACGTAATAGTGTTCCTTTTGATAACCTGAAATTTCATAAGTGTTGTCAAACGGTTTCTGGTGAAATGTACACAAATGCTTCTCAAACTATCTATAATGTTGTCTGTTTAAAATGTTTCCAATTAATTCTGAACAGTAAATGAAATTGTTTTATTTGGATTTAAGCATGTGCTGGACATGGAAAACCACCTCTAGTTCATTAGTACTTTTAATGAAACTAATGATCCAATGACTGTAGTAGAAATTAATTGTCATATGGCAATAGTCCAATGAGCTCACCATTCATCTCTGGGGAAATGCAAAGTCCCAGCAGAAAGCATTATTAACTTTGGGAAAATTAAACTCCAAGACAATGAAACAAAAAGGTCCAAGACGACAACTATTTTTTAAAGAAGGACATTAAAACTGTTTCTAGATTTTTGACATTAGGAACTCATGATAGTAGATTACATGAAAGAAAATATTTTGATTTATTCATTTAATAAACACTAAATGACTTTGTGAGCATATGTTGCCTTAAAGATCACAAAATGTCAAACGAAGAATACAGTCACAGGATTACAGGGTAAAATGAAGAATTGTTATACAAAAGGTCAGCCATGTGTGAAGTGTGGTGCTACTTACTATTCTGCATTGTCCCTAAAAATTAAAAATTTGATCCCATGATGTTAAATACATTTCCTTCTTAGTGTTACATGATACTCAGTAGTGATGCTAATTAAACTAGCAGGGTTTTTTTTGTTAGTCTTACGAGAAAAATAACTATGAAAGACTAGCATGTACTATAATTTGTTCTCCAATAACTGCACTAAAATATGCCATTTATTTGCAGTCACATGATGAATATAATAAGTCATTTGTATTTCTCATTCTTTTCTTCACTTGGAATATTTCCTTTAATAAAAAATATTCTCAATTTTCATTTCCATGATGAGAAGCAAGTGGTAATTGTAGATAACTTTAAAATTTTTTCTCTATGTGTTAGGCAATTAATGTATTATTTAAACTAATTTTTGGAACATTCTTTTTTCAGAAAGTCTCATTAACATCTTCATTTTATCAAGGAAGAAGAACTGGGAGTGCAAGACAATGAAGTAGAGAAAGAGAACCCAATATTCTACCTCCCAGTTCAGATGTAGTAGCTAGTTTGCCCTGTGAACAGAAAGGGCAGGCCTCTGTTCATGGGTTCTTCCTTTATTGAATCCATGTGTCAATGATCAAAACCCATGCTGTGCTAATCAGCATCTTAGTAGGAAAAAAAAAGCAATGAGTTGCAAAAGAGTTTGTATAGTTTCCTTCTCAAATAACTTTTACTACTTCTAGTTTTACCAGAGGCCAAGTACAGGATCCACTTAAACCTAAAACACAAAGTTTATTTTAAAATATACATATACTATACATCATAAATTTCCTTTATAACTTTATACATTGGATAACTGAATGCAATTGTCTTAAATTAGATCTGTGTTTCTTAAAATTTGTTTCTATTTGTTTTACATATTCTCTCTAATCACTCTTTTTTCCTCTCCTATTTCTACATTGTCTCCCTCTTTCTATATTCCCACATTAAAAAATTAAATACTAAATTTCAGTATTATCTGAGCAGCCTAACAGCAATAGCTACCTACTAATTGACAGAAGATCTGCCAGCGAGATGATTTAAAATTTGTTCTTTTATGATGTTTATTTATTTGGTGTTATAAATAGCCACCACAGAATTCCAGGAAGGAAAAATATACTTCAAAGTGCCAAAAGTTTGTAGTAATGAAAATTTGCTCTAATTCTTCCTTCAGCTTGTCTGCTGTCCTATTTCTCTGCTATAGACAGGAGGAACGTACGTCACCAAGGAGATTCTTAAAAACACATCCGAGTGTATATTATTTCTCAATCTAATTACCTAAAATTCACTTTATTCACTTTAAGTGAAACTGGGTGCATCTGCTAATGCAGAATAATGTCTTCCGTAAATAATACCAAATTCCGTGCTATTCAGAAAACAATCTGAGACTGTTTGGACAATATAGACATAGCTAATATGTTCAAGAACTGAGACAGACACCACTTCTTTTACTGGCCATAATGCCTGCCTATTCCAGTGCCTATCTGTTAAATGCACTGAGACTACAGTTTAAGGTCAGTGTAGATCTGTTGGCTCATAAAACATTAATTGCATAAATGTTAAGGACCAGTAGCTAATAACAAAGGTCTAATTCCTTAGGTATATGGACTCTAGCCAGTTTTCTAAATGCAATGAATTCTCCGCAGAGGGGAAAAAAATCAGTTGATAAACACATTTTGTAATACAATATTTTAAATGAAAGGAGACAAGCTAATGTTACTCGGCTATCTGTATCAGCACTGACACGCAGTTTTGTTAAATTGCAATAGTATAAATTGTGAATGAATTAAAGTCAGTCTTAGAGTAAAAATTGTCCAGTCAGAACTCTTTGGAGGGGGAGGAGGATACTTGTGTTACTATGCCTGACTCTTCTTACACTAGATTACAATGCAGACACCCCCATCTGTGAATGGGCTCCTCTGATGTAACTTTAACCATTTCACTTTTCTTCTGTAACATTCAAAGGGCTGAAAATTTCGTACTCCCTTAAAAATAGCTAGCTATATTCTCTGCACATTAAGAATTAAAATTCACCTTAGTTCTATAATACACAGCCTGCGATAGTAACGTGTTCATCACTGCTTTTGGTATTAACTCAGAGCGCTATAGCAAGGACTGAAGACCTCTATGGGATACAGTCAGATGTATCCTGAGCATTGCAAATCCCCTTTGTGTCTGCCTGTGTGCTACATATGTAAATTGACCAGATGTCACACAAAGGCAACCCATCTCTCTTGGGATAAGACTTGGGCTGATCCTTGGAAAGTAGGCAACACAGTGTCTTGTTGCTATTAAAATCAAATCGTTGGTGCCAAGGTGTGTTTCTCACACATTTGCTATACTATGCAGGAAAGAAGGGACTTTACAGTCCTTTTTAAAAGTCCTTTTAAAAGTCCTTGAGAAAACCGGACTGATAATTAAGTATCAATGCTTCAGGTAGAAAAGAAACATTAAATTCTTTCTTGCCTTCAAACCTTCCTTCCTCTCCCCTGGTAAGCAGCAGAGGATGATTTTGGCAAAGTGGGGAGCAGCGGTTTGAAAAGACCCCAAATCCAAGGAATATGGACCCCCTAAAAGTGCAAGAAGCGCCCGGGGAGTTCGAGGAGTTGGAGGAAGTTATTGCAAATAGCGCGTTTTCTGAGTTTACCTGGGAAGGTGGGTGTGGCAGATGGAGGGAGCGGTTCCAAATCAAAGACGGACACCTCACTGCTACTCACCCTTCTCCTCCGTCCTCCGAGTCGCTGTCCGAGCCCCACTCCTCGCCGATGTCCGGCAAGGTGAAGAACAGGGTCTTGGGGCCAGACCCAGGCGTCTTCCAAGCGCTGGGCTCTCTCTCTCCGGAGCCAGGCAGGCGAGGCTGCCGGGGGCTCTCGGGGCGCGACCGCGCCAGGGCCACCAGCTGGGCCGGGGACCCCGCGGCGTGTCGGTGGGCGCTAGACAGGAGCAGAGGCTGGGGCGCCGGCGGGATTTTGGCTGTACTGGGGCTACCGGGCAGGGGGAAGGGAGACCCTGCTGCTTCTGCCGCGCGGCTGGCGGCCGAGACTCGGGCATAGGAAGCGGCGAGCAGAGGATGCAGCGAGGTGGGTGGCCCCCGCGAGGCCGAGGCTGAGTCGGGAGCCAGCGCGGGGAGGAGGGTCGAGGTCGAGGTCGGGGTCGGAGTCGGGGTTTGGACGGCGCCCGCAGACCCTGCGCCTCCCAAGTGGCTGGAGGAGGTGACCGGAGAGGGGACCGCGGGGGACGCCGTCGAGGTCTTGAAGATTTTGGCAAAGAGAGACCCGAGATCCAACACAGCAACCTTCATGCTGTGACCTTGGAAATGCTGTTCTTGCTGCTGCCGGAATCTCAGGAGCCCTGGGAGCCGGGCTGCAGGGCTCCATCCACCAAGGCCCACCCGTGGGGATCTGGACCTGGCGCCGAGGCCTTGCGGGGAGCAAGGATGCTGGAGTCCCGGGGCCCCGCCAAGCCCCGGAGAAGTCTGGTTCTCTCCCGAGCCCGAGCCCGGTGAACAACTTTGGGCGCTCAGCTCCTCACAATTGGGACAGACCTTTCGCGACGGCCTGGTCCTTCCACTGAGGGACCAGGGCCAGCGATCCCTTCTCAGGCTCGATGTGGCGAGAACAACCTGGTCCGAGGGTCTGGGAGCCTAGCCTGGGCACCTCTACCCCGGCCAGCGCCACACGGGCTTAGAGTGCAGATTGCTGTGGCCTCAGCCCCCGGTGACGCTCGACGGGCCCCTGGGACCGCGCAGGCGGTTGCTAAGCCAAACAAAACCCTGCTAAGCTCACCGCTAATTGGGCCCCAGACTGTAGCTCTGGGCGGCTTCTACAATAGAAACCCTGGGTCCCCTCCTTGATTTCTGCCTTAAAGGAACAGTCTCGGATTTCTGCATCATTGGTAGAGCTTCGCCAGATTCCCCAGCTCAGGGCTGAGAACAAGAGGTTGAAGATAACCCGGGAAATATAATCTTGCTCCCAAAAGGTTCTGGAATTCATCGTGTCTGGCAGAGCCAGAGGTGGTATGATCAGGGCCAGTTCTCCGATGTGAGGGACAGTGAGCAAAAAGAAGCATTCAAGGACGAATGTTTGAAAGAGCAGGGGCCACTGGCCCACCCCCAGGGTCCTGCCCAAAGTGTGAGGCTAGAAATGGCGTGTGGGAACAGCAGAAGATGCTTCACCCCAGAACTTCACCCGAGAAACAGAATTGGGCTTGAGAGGTGAAGCAGGAAGATTCACATACGGTGACCAGGAGACTGTGTAACTAAAATGTACACTGACCACACTCATCAGAATGACTATCTACAAATGACAAACAGAGTCAGATTGGAAGGGTAAGACTTCTTCAGTGGAATGAATAGCATTTTGCTTAACGTGAAGAAATCATTGTGAAGCTTCCTCAAAAAACTAAACATTGAAATTCCATTTTACCCAGGTAGCTCCCTTGTAGGTATCTTCCCAAAAGTTAAAATTACCACATTACAGGGATACATGCATACTCATGTTTACAGCAGTGCAGTTTATAATAGCTAGATCTTGGAAATAGCATATATGTCCAGAAACATAAGGAAAGAAAAATGGATAAGAAAAATGTGGTATTTATACACAATGGAATACTACATTGCCATAAAGATAAATATGAGGCATTCATAGATAAATTATGCAACTTGAGAACATAATGTCATGTGACAAAGATCAGACACACAACCTCAAATAGCCCATGGTTTCTCTCATAGGAGAAACACCATAAATATTATATGGAGAGCAAAATAGAAGAGAAATAAATAGGAAGCAGGGAAAAGTTCAAGTACTTCCCCAAATTACATATTCTATTGTTTCAAAAATGTTTTAATATATGCTAATTAGTTTCATTTATACTACCAGTCTATAGTATCTTAGTCATTGTAAATAAAGCTTTGTGTTATCTGCTGTTTTGTGAGAATCTTTTTAGTTTATGTCTTGTATTCTGAGTAACTACTTTGAAGATAATGATACAGTGTATTAACTATTGTTACCCTTTTTATTTTGTTACAAAATTTTGTTTCATATTTTCATAAAATAAAAAAGGAAAAATGCACCTGAAAGGTAGAGTGTGTGTCAGCTTCTACAGCAGTATGAGGTTAGAATTAAAGAAGGTTTAAAAATATTGAGTTATCCATTGATATGGGGTTTCAATTTTTTTTTTTTTTGGTACCAGGTATCGAACTCAGGACCTTGTGGTTGCAAGGCAAGTGCCAGAACCACTGAGCTAAATCCCCGGCCCCAGGGTTTCAATTTTGATCTCAGGAGATGCATTTTTTCATTTGGGATAAGGGAATTCTGGCAGATGAATAATCTGGTAGTGAATAAATTGATATTTGTGATTATAAACTTTAGTTTTTAGTAAGATATCAAACTGGATTCTGAGCTGTGGTAAAATTCCATGGTGATTCCAAGTTTTGTGTTTTCTTGTAGACAGTAAACTAATTTTCTGTTTATGATATTGACAATCTCCTATAATCACTTTTCTGCATCCAATTAATAGCATCAACAAATACGTATCAGGCACTTTTTCTACTTCAAGATTGCATTAAGCATTGAGAGGCAAACAAAAAAAGATGTGCTTTTCTCAGAGCATGAAATAATGATTTTCTTATCAGATGCTGTATGAGGTGAATACCCTAGAAAATATGTACAGTGAGTGGTGGCCATTTCAGTCAGCACTGGCCTGGGGAAAGCAGAGCATTTGTGTGAATGAGAAGAGACAAAATAAGGTTGGCTCATAATTAGATGTCGGAGAGGCAAGGGTATGCAGTTGTCAGCATGTAAAGCACACAGTGAAGAATCAAAATGAGGGAAAGAGAATGTAAGTCACAGACACAGCAGCAACGGAAAGTAGAGGTGGAGGTCCCAAGGTCAAACAGGAAAGCTATGCCAATGCTGTTATAATGCAAGGCCACCAGAAGTAGGCTGCTGTTGGGTCATCAATATCTCCCATTTATCTCCTCTTTGCTCTCTTCCAGCAACTCACCAGGTAGCCTCTGGAGTGCATCAGGTCCATTAGAACACTGGACCACTTCATACAGCTCTTTGGGAGGTGAACCACTTCTAGATTTTTTGTTTCACAAGGATCTTGATTCTGACTCATACATCAGTTAAATCCTGAACATATTAGGCTACTCTCAATGAAAACACAGGTCATTTCTGGGGTATGAATTTTTACTGTCTAAGCATTGAGTCCTCTGACTGATTCTGAACATAAGTAAAATAACTTGAAGGGACAGGCAGAAAGAAAGGGCCATTGTCAAATGAAGCCTGATAGCATGACCCAACTCATTCATTTTTTCTTGGAAGCAGGTCCTGTTAGCTGGCATATCTGAGGATTTCTGATTTTTCAGGCTCAGAAATCTGATTGGTCCAGCACCTTCACAGCTCACCAACCTGTACAGATGAAACCCTTCTAACCTGACTCATAAAACCCAGTTGCAGAGTGTTATGTCTTCTGCTCCCTCCTTATGAAAGGAATTTCTGTTGAGCCCAAGTTAAAGTTATTTCTTAGATCTAAAATGTCACCCAAAAGTCTCATGTGTTCAAAGATGGAACCTGATTAAAAGAACCAGGTTGCTGAGGTTATGAGCTGGAAAGATCTATTCTTGTTGCCAGCTCTTCCCTTTTCTCTCTGGTTCTGGGCCACCATGTGGTGAGCAGCTTTCCTCTGCCATGCTAATTCTTCCATGCTATTTCTGCCTTGGAGCCAGCTGACCTGGAAAGGAATCTTCTCAAACTGTTAGCCAAAGTAAACCTTTACTCCTTTAATTTACAAGTGTCATGTTTTTGTCCCTGCTATGGAAAGCTGACAAATACAGTTTGAGTGACTTTTAGGTGAACATGGAGCCCAAACAAGGGAAGTGAGTTTTGTAGTTTACATAAAGGGAACATTAGTCATAAGAAGAAATCGTGTTCTTCTTGTAGGAGCAACCCTATCTGTACAATAGTACATTCATTCATCCATCTGATACTTTTCTTAGTATCTGAATATTGTTAATAACACTACAAAAAAGCTGCATACTCTTCCAGATTCCATCCTTTTATGTATTTATGTGTGCATGTATCCTATTTGTTATGGGTTGAATTGTATCCTCCAAAAAAGATATGTTGCAATTTTAACTCCCCATTGCTGTGGATGTGAACTTATCTAGGTATAACATCTTTAGAGATATACAGTTGTCTTCCCTTATTCATGAGGGATACATTCAAAAATCCCAGTAAATGCTTGAAACAGTAGAGAGTACCAAATCCTATACTTATACACCTATGTATATTTATACATATACACTTATGATAATGTTTTAATTTATAACTTAGGTACAGGAAGATATTATCAACAATAACTAACAATAAAATAGAACAACTATAATAATATGCTGTAATAAATGTTATGTGAATCATTGCTCATTTGTTCTCTCTCTCTCTCTCTCTCTCTCTAAAACTATCTTAATTCCTCATTGTGTGATAACATGTTTAGATTGCAGTTAACCTTACATAACTGGAATCTTGAAACATGAAAACATGGATGAGAGAGACTAATATAATCCAATTAAGCTGAGGTCATCAGGCTAATCCAGTGTGACTGGTAAACTCTAAAGCAGAAGGGAATTTGAACACAGACACACATGTTATGGCAGCAGCAGAGAGTCAAGTGACACAGAGCTGCAAGCCAAGGAACTCCACAGACTGATAGCCACAACTGAACACAAGGAAGAGGCCAGGAGGAATTCTATCTTACAGGTTTCAGAGAACACAGACTCAACAGATACTCAGTGTAGGACTTCTTATTTCCAGAACTGTGGGAAAATAAAGCTCTGTAGCTCTAAGTCCCCAGTCTGTGTCAAATTGTTATGACAGCCACAGGAAATGAATATACTATGGGATACTAATTTGGGGGATACAGCATGAGCACAGTGCCTTGCTGGTACTCCTACTCCTACGAAGGTCTTTAGTGCATGTATTTGTTCTAAAACAAACTGGCCATAAATTAAAATGATAATCCTACGTGTTTCAAATCTATAGAAAGGATGACCAAAATCATAAAAAGGAAGGAGAGAGAGTGGGATCATTTTCAGTTAAGATTGCTGATGTAGCTTTCTGAACAGCCAGCCTTATGAAATAAAGAGACAATGAATGAATGATGGGTCCTTTTGTTTGAAGGTGCTCCCTTTGAAAAGGACTTACAATTGTAAACATGATAAACAATTCTTAGCAAGATCTAGGTCTTTTATACCTATTGTTCATCTATCAACAGTCTTTCAGACAAATGCTCGATGCTACTAGGCTTCTCTGTTAATTACCAGCAGCCGTTCTCATGACATGAGCCTTAGGTGATGGA